CGTGCTGGGGGAGGGAGAGCTAAGCGTCGGTGAGGGAGGCGCGTACGACCTCGACCTCCTCAACGAAGTATTTGGGCTTGGCCACGGCGTCCACCAACGACGCGCCGGTGGTCGACGGCCAGAAGAACAGCGAGGGGCGCCACCTGTGGTGGGCGTCCCCAGCCGCACGCTCGAGGGCGTGCTGACGTACCTCGAGGGCGGCAATGACCCGCCGTTGGCGTACCCGGCGAGGGTGGCCGCCCCGGCGCACCACCGATGAGCCGGGCCATGGGCGCCAAGGAGGTTCGGGTCCTCCTCCTCGCGATCTTCCTCGCACTCCTTCGCTACTCCGGCCCTGCTCGGCGTCAAGGCCGAGCCCGCGGCGTAGACGCCGCTCGGCCGGCGCACTCGCAGCGCCGGCATCGTCATCAACGAGGGCGGCCGGCGCGCCTCCTCGTCGGCTCCTCCTCCGCGCTTCGTCAAGCCAAAGACGGAGCCGGGGCTCGCGCCGGTGAAGACGGAGCTCGACGACGACGCGGCCCTGGAATGGGCGCGCGGGGACTCCATAGCAATGGAGAAGGAGTGCCTGGAGAAAGCGAAGGAGCGCCAGTGCGCCGCCCTGCGCCACTTCGCGGAGCGCCGACGCGACCGCGACGAAGGCGGAGTCGTCGTCATCTGTGACAGCGACAACGACGACGCGCCGCCGCCACCAGTCCGCGTTGGCGACGCCGGTCAGGGGTCCACCAGGGACGGCCGCGTCAAGGAGGAGAAGTCCGACGACGGCGGCGACGATGGCTGCGACGGCGACTACTCGGCGTTCAGCCAGTTTCTTTTTTAGATTAGTTATCTATTTTGCTATGTAATGAAAATCCGCGAACATGTCTAATATATGCCCAAGTTTACCGAAATTTATCATGTTTAGCCGAACTTCGCCAAACTATGCCGAAATTTGCTATACAAATTTTATTTTTAAACGCGCCTGGGGACGGCCCTGGGGCCGGCGGCTGAGGACCAACTCGCCCCCGGCCCAATTTTTGCGCCGGCTCATCCCATGCGATGATTTTAGGCGTCCCTGGGGGACAACGACTGAAGATGCTCTAACACTACTTCGTTCGTGCTCACCGGTGCTGCCATGTATGTTACCTCGAGTTCATATGCGGGCGTTCTGTTTTGTTTGGAATTAAAGTAATCAGGGCGGTGGGTGGGTGGCACCAGGAGGGGCATGGGGCCAAATGATCTACTCCCTCCGTACCATTTGAACTGCGAAAACGGTACAGAGGTAGTTAGATCTGAGGGCATCTTCAACAGTTTAATAGTATATGGCGGATTGCTGGTGCATGACGCGCGTTCTCTACTTTACCGGTGGCCGAGCCGGCGATGGCTCCACTGGCGCAGTCTCAGGGCATCTCCAGCCGTTGGCCCCCAAGGGGCGCCTAAAATCGCCGTCTGAGGTGAGCCAGCGTAAAAATTGGGCCAGGGACCGAGTTGGCCCCCAGCCATCGGCCCCAGGGTCGCCCCTAGGCATGTTTTAAAATAAAAGAAGTTCGGCGAAGTTCGGCTTAAACACGATAAAATTTGGCCAAACACGATAAATTTCGGTACATTTCGGCGAAGTTTGCGGATTTTCATTACATAGCACATATACATAAACTAATCTAAAGGAAAAACTGGCTGAAGTCGCCGCCGTTGCCGCCATCGTCGTCGTTGGCCTTCTCCTCCTTGACGCGGGCATCCCTGCTGGACCCCTGCCCGGCG